AATTATTCTACGCATAGTAAAGAGTTATCCCGTTGACCGTGGATTCGTTTGAACCCCGGAACATTGTTAATAGCGTTAATTAAATTCATTATTCGTAAAACCTATTAATCGTTAATCTCATTATTCGTTAAATTTATTATTCGTAAGACATATTATTCGTTCCTCTTATTATTCGTTAAACTTATTATTCTTTAATCTAATCATTAGTTAAACTTATCGTTCGTTAATCTTATCATTCATTAAACAAACTCATTATTCATAATATTTTGTAAAATCTTGTATATTCGCGTAAATATAATCTCTGTTTCGTAAAACAATGGTTAATTCAAACGAAGAATCGTTACGCGCCTTAAATTCTAATGATACCCCGACATATATAAATGATGCAATTAGAACAAAGCCCATCAAAATTCGTAATGAGCCCCCTTTACTCCAAATTCACCATGAATCCTTATAAATGAATAATATTTCAATATTGCTTTTGTGCTCTCTGTTCTTTACAAATTTAGTACAACATGTAATACAACAACAATGTTGTATTATATGTTATCATCTGATACATAGAATTCTACATATCAAAGATTTTATGTAAGTACGGTTTGTACTTATGTAAGTAGGATTTTAAATTGTATATGTATGTAATGCTTTGCACAGATCACAAGTGATATTATGATATATTTTTATAATCTGTTATCTGAAAGTTAAATTAATTGACTATTAATATTTTACTTTGATTATTAAAAAATCATAATACATTGAAATTGATACATAATGATAAGTTATGAGCAGGGCAGATGCTGCAGTGATGTCGCATATGTGGGAATACGTGATATCTCAGGAGATCACCAATAGAGAGTAAGAAATTAAGTTCATAGCTTTTAGGGTGTTCTTCATGTCTCTTGCTTTTCTTGCCTACTCTACCTACCTTTCGTAAGCTAATTGCAATACATTATTTGAAGATAATTGGAAGATTCGTGAAATTTATTCAACTTTTACATAACATGTTCTTAGTTTCAGGAATATCTATTTAACACAAGTACATAAAATATGCTTAAAATTAATCAAAAATAAAATAAAGATATGATTATATTTTTATACATACAATTGTTTAGTACTTTTTTATAATTCATTTCTACGTATGAGTAACTCTTATTATTACACATTTTGTGTAATTTTCAGATATAAAGATTATAGATCTCTGAAAATCTGTAAATATTCTTACATTCTTTTCATCTGTTTTATGTATACATCTTTATCATTACTGATTCTATTAATTGGTAGAATTCTAATATCTTTTTTATGCACAATAATTAAAAAAATTTTGTTTACAATATGCTTGTTAGGGCTGATGCACCTATTATGGGATCTCTATGGGAATATGTTATCGCTAATGATGTGGAAATGGGGTAATTCTTTTTCTTATATTTCTCTGTCTTTAATTATCAAATGCTACATAAGTATTCAAATAATTATTATTCTTAATCTATGTACATAATCTAATAACTATTTTTTATACTTCATGCATTAATAACTTTCTTAAAAAGCTGTTGGTGTTTTATTATGTAATTATATTATATTGTTTGTGCAAATATGATTTACTAATATATGTTCATATATTTAATATAAAATTTAACAACTTCTTCATATTGCATGTTTTGAAAGATTGCTCAAATGTATTATAGATATAAGGAAGATGGATATAATAAGGGAGTACCAGAGTTCACACCTCCACCTCCTGTTCGACTTCAGTGGGATTTGAATCCAAAGTGCATAGCCGCAATTGAAGAATCAAACCAAGTAATAGACATGAAATTAAAAACTTCTTTTTACATGCATATTTACAGTTATTTTCTATCAAAATTCAAAATTATTAATAAATCCATGACTAAAATACTAACCTACATTTGATATTTCTGATTTATTTTGTGCAATAAAAAGTTGATTATATTAACAACATTTTTAATTATCAGGTTGCACAGAACTTATTAAATGATGTCGAATTACGTATTTATGTACATGATGCGTACGGTAAAGGGTTTATGAAAGTTAATTCAATGTCACCAGATGCATACATACAAATGGCCTTACAGTTAGCGTATTTCCGTGATTCTGGTAAATTTAATTTAACTTATGAAGCTTCTATGACTAGACTGTTTCGGGAAGGAAGAACAGAAACTGTAAGGCCATGTACAATTGAATCTACGAATTGGGTAAAAGCAATGGAGAGTAAAAACACAACTGTAAGTAATACTATAAAATTTATTTGGACCAAAAGTTTTATATAGACCAGTGTAAACGTTTTTATATTACAATTTTTCAAGCTGTCAGGAACAAGTTGTTGCACTTAAATTTTTAATATTGGTCAAAATCTCGATTTCTCGAACTTTTTATTTCAAAAAATTCATTCAAAATATTTTGTGATATTGATATTCAATTCAATAATCAGAACATAACAGTTAATTATCAGGACATAATTTGGTATGAAATTAATGTTTTTTATAAACAGGTTTACTGTAAAAAAAAGCTTTAATGTGCTACATTTAATATGTTATATTAAAATAGTTCTATTATATTAGAAAGTTTGATAATTATTTACAAAGCAGATGGGTTTACCGATTTTGAATGATGTTAAAATGTCCGTATTTTTACATGACCCTAATTTACTTTCGATAATCATTTTCAATTCGCATAAGAAAGGAAAAAGCAATCAGTTAGGCATAGATAAAAATCAATTGATTTGGCATAGATAATTGTGGGATGATAACGCTACTGTTAATAATGCTAAAAATAATTTAGGGTATTAAATAATAAGACAAATACAATTCATAGTAAGTTTTATATTATATTATTGATATTCGAAATTGGAAAAAGCGATTATTCGATTATCAAAATCATATTATTATCGAAACAGAAAGTTTTGCAAATATCTTGGAAACTAAAATCGAGTAGCGGTAACATCTATAGAGGGAAAAGTAGTTGAAAATGTTGACCTTGACATCTCAAGATTATTGAAATCGGTGAAGTCGTTCGGTTTGTAAATAATTACTGAGTTTTATTACTATTATTATGTAATATATATAATTAATTATTAATGTAATGTATATGTGTAATTAATGTAATGTAATGTATATAATTAATTATGTCAGAAAGTTCTTCTATCATAATTTAATAATAGAAATTTATTGTTTCTGGTTTCATATCAACTTTTAATATTTTCATACTCTTTGTCAAGTATCAACTTTTATCAAAATACTAAAATGCCTTGATATTTATTTAGAGTTCAATTAATTAAAACAGAGTCATGTATTAATAACTAATTAACTATATAAATATCTATAGTAATATAATTTGTTTTTCGTGTCTTTTAAACAATTTGAAAAAGTTATAGTTTTAATCAACTTAACTTATTTATTTTAGTATTATGTAATTTATTTTGTATTCTTCTTACAGGTTGAGACTAAGTATGATTTATTGATGGCAGCAGCAAAACAGCATCAAAAAGGTTATCAAGATGCTATGTGCGGTAAAGGAATAGACAGACATTTATTTTGTCTATATGTAGTATCTAAATATTTAGAAGTAGACTCTCCTTTCTTAAAGGTAATGTTTGCAAGAAAGAAATACGATTATATGATTTTTCTCAGACGATTTCAAAGAAATTTTCCTTCAGGAAGTTTTAAGTGAACCATGGAAATTATCTACTTCACAAACGCCACATGGGCAAACATCATTAATAAACTTGAAAAAACATCCAAATTGTATCTCTGCAGGAGGTGGCTTTGGTCCTGTAGCTGATGATGGTTATGGCGTTTCGTATATTATTGCTGGAGAAAATCTTATATTTTTCCATATTTCATGCAAACGTAATTCTCCAGAAACAGTAAGCAATTATATAAATTATTATTATTATGTAATTACTTCACTCATAGTTAAAATATTTATATAATTATTTTTAGAATGCAGCTAGATTTGCAAAACAAATAGAAAAAGCATTAGCTGATATGAAGAATCTGTTTCTTGAAAGAAAAAAGCTGCAAACTCAAAAGAATGGTTCTACATAATTATTCTGCAGCAAAAAGAGATGCAGTTACAGTATACTAGTAGAAAGTTTCAATCTTAATCCTTTTTTTTCAAATGTTTTAAGATGATCCCTTTACATACTCAAAATGTATCTTTTGTAACGTTGTCTGCAGAAAAAACACTAAACATTAATATTTCATGCTCTTTAACAGCGTACATTAAATTTAAAAACGTACAAAGTTTAATTATATTTATTTTTATAATAAGCATTTTATGGAAAACGTTTTTGAATGGAAAACATTTGTAAATTATAGTAATAATGATTAAAAAATATTGTCATTAAACTTTTTATGAAAACTATCTTAGAAAAAAGAGATACATACTGCTATTTTTATATTTTATATTACTCTCAGGAAAATTGTTATAAATGAGGTTATTGTAAAACTTATTGAAGATTGAGCGTTTAATAGTAAAGTTTAGTAAACAACATAGAGAAAAACTAAGAAACGTAGTGCGAAATTTTCAAACAGACTGCTGTTTGAATAGTAAAATTGTGTATTCATTATGCAATGAGAATAGTATTAAATTTTGTAAGCGGTTTCATCTCTTCTATATAGTAGAAGATCGAAAGTTTAATTCATTGTATAACTAAATTTTCTATGATATAAATAAATAAATAAATATATTAAATTACTTTATATATATATAAATATATATATATATAAAGTAATTTAATATTTTTAACTTTGTACCAATTTTATCAATTATACGAGTTCTAATCATATTCAATATATCTACAAAATGATTATTATTAGTGAAACCATCAGAAATTGCGAATATATTATATATGTCAAATCATTATTAATATTCAAATACCGTTAGTATTGCAGTAGAATCAATCAATAACTACTATTTTTATATTTTAGATGCGAAGAAAAATTATTGTAATTGATTAACAATAAGTTTTATATTAACTGCGTATTAGCTATAACGCGTGTTATTTGTAATACAAAATGTAATTATACATATATATATATATACACATATATACATATATATATATGTATATGTATATTTAGTTTTAAAATATATTAAATAATATGCCATAGATCTATATCAGCAACCTATCAATGCAAAATTTTAATGTTATAAGTAGTTTATATATTATTCATTTTACTATATCTTTATTAAAACTGTATTTCAAGGTATTGGTGCTTTTATAATTTTATTACTCGAATTTACAATTTTAAGGTAAATATGTTATTCTATTTGATGTAAACAGAAAAAATGAAATATATGATAATAAGATGCAACTATTTGGATTTATAAATACTCGACATACCTTGGACGTGGAATAATTAAATGATCATAATGAACAAAGGAAAAGAAATGTATTAATAATACATAAAATTATATCTTTTGAAATACCTGAAACTTAAAAGTAATCAGTTACTATATTACATACAAAACATATTCACAGAGGCAATATGAAAAGATCATTCAACTTTTTCGTTTAAATATTTCTAGTGATTACTTTTAAAATGTTATAAGGACCAAATAGTGACTAACTATTGAAAAGATGTATTACAGACTTGAATATCTGGGAATTTTTAGAACCTGACGGTGGAAATAGTTTTTCCTCATGATAATTTTTTGATGGGATTTTAAGGCTACTAGTATTTTTTTAAACAGAACCTAATTCTATATTTATTCTTCAGTGTTCTTGTAGAACAGGAAAAAACAAATACACCGACTTTAATAACCACTCAACATTTAATCTTGACATATTTGCGTTTGAAATGTATGTATGTATAGATTATGTGTATACAGGGTGGTTGGTAAGTGGCGGTACAAACGGAAAGGGAGTGACTACGCGAAAAAAGAAGTCGAAAATGTAGAATAAAAATTTAAAAAAATTTTTTTTTGTAAATTTTTCCATCGAGACAACGATCTACAGTGAGATTCGTTATAACGAGACGTGATAAAGTGCACGCGTACCGAGCGAAAATTCAAAGTCGATTTTCTTGAAAACAAAACCTCAAACGAAGAATTTTTATTCTATATTTTCGACTTCTTTTTTCGCGTAGAATCACCCCCTTTCCGCTTGTAGCAACAGTTACCAACCACCCCGTATATGATATTTAATTATGTCTCGACCGATAAATTTTTCGGTTTCTAGACAAAATTTTTTAACTTTTCAAATGCTCAAATAAAAGTCTAAAACCTAAAGAATTAAAAAATTTAACAATTCATTAATGTATAAACATTTTTAAATTATTATTTTAGGTTTTGGTTTATCAATACTATTTATACAATAAGGTGAATATAAATATCGTTTTATATTGAAAAGTCGTCTTTTATATTTGTATCTTTTTATCTTTATATTCTAAGTCATACTTTTGTATATATAATTGATATAAGCTATAAAGCGTATACATATCGTTACATTATTTTATTCCTTGAATATTTTTCAAAATGTACGCTTATGTAAGGGAAAGTAAAATTTATATGTTACACATAACATACGAAATGCGATGTGATAAAAATATTTCGTCGGAACGAAATATTACAATTTCTACATTTCACAATGGTTTCAGATAACGTAGTAAGACTTTCGTTTTTCGAGTAGCGTAGTTTCGCGTCTAGATGAGGTATCAAACCTATGGTTGTAGTTTAGCTTGCTTACGCGCCGCGAATTCGTGACACGAGCACGAGCGTGACGAACGCGGAGTGAGTGCGTACTGAAAATAAACAGAGAGTAGTGGTGTGGTGACAAGAGCGCGGGTCGAACGATGGCTTCGCCGAACAAGAAAGCCAAGGAATTAGAGGATCCAGGTTCGGGGGAGGGTGTTGAATCACGCGATTACGACATTGAAATACAAAAGACACTCGAAGAGATTGACGGGTGTCAGAATCAAATCGATGGCCTCAATGAGAAGGCCAGCGATGAAATCCTCGAAGTCGAGAAGAAGTATAATAAGTTGCGTAAGCCCTATTTCCAGAAACGGAATGACATTATTAAGAGGATACCCAATTTTTGGGTCACTGCTGTATCCTTCCATATGATGACATTACGGTTTCGCTAATAATAGTTACTAATATATCTTTGACGTTTCTCGGCAATGCCGGCGTCCACCGGCGCTAGTCGCCATCTTGCCTCCTTGTATACCTATAGAAGTATGTATAACTACATGCGGTCACGCGGAATGCAATATATATTTATTTTTTTTAAATGTTTTACATGATCGTTGTTCTAGTAATACGGTTCATTACCTTAAATATGCGTGTAGTTTTTCTTTTATAGTATATTTTTGTTGTATATTCTAATTAGTAATTCATGTTACTCAAATGTAAATATTTTCTTCTTCTCTTTCTTCTTCTTTTCTTTCATGATCTTTTCTTCTATGTTTACAATGATGTTTTTCTTTTATAGTATATTTTTGTTGTATATTCTAATTAGTAATTCATATTACTCAAATGTAAATATTTTCTTCTTTCATGATCTTTTCTTCTATGTTTACAATGTTAGATCAATTGAACAATTATTCTTTTCCTATCTCTTTTTATTTTTTTAGTTTATATGTAGTTCTATTTAATTTACATTAAAAATTACTTTAAAGTACCAGAATATAAAATTTTATACTTCTACTATTCAGAAATAAGTCGTTCATAACATTAACATAATAATATGTATGTATATGTTAATATATTGTACATTATGAAGATTAAATATGATAAATCGTAACATTAAAGATATGATATGACAAGTTAATGTACATTTCCTTAGTGAATCTGTAGTTTGTAAACAATAAGGAAATAGCAGAAATATTGGAAGAAGATGAAGAAGATGCGCTTCGATTTTTAAATAAATTAGAAGTTGAAGAATTTGAAGATATTAAATCAGGTTATAGAATTAATTTTCATTTTGATGAAAACCCATATTTTGAAAATGATGTCCTTACAAAGGAGTTTCATCTAGGTTCTTCTGGTGAGCACATTTCTAAATCTAAATTCTATTTTATAAATTGTCTCTTAACATTACTTTAATTTTATCAATTTTGATTAGTTATTTATTTTATATTTAAAACTATGATTTCTTACTATATATTCTATAAAATTTTAATTTTTAATATAATTTTCAAAAGTTACTGATTTATAGAATAATATTAAATTATTTATACAGATTTAATTAATTTCAATATTAAATTATATGTTCAAACAATGTAGGTAATATAAGTAATAAGTAACATAAATAAGTTATTAAATAAAGTAAAATTACAGGCTTTGTTTGTACAGAATGACAAAGTTTGTAGTATACATTCTCAAATACATATAAGCTTTTTTAATAAGGTTTATATCTAACATGATAGAAAGAATTAAAAAATAATTTTATTGTATTGTCTTATTTATAATTATAACACAAACAATTTGAAGAAGTTGTAAGTGGATGTTAAACCCCTTGTTGAATAATCATAGTTTTGATGTATCTCCTGCATTTTTGCAGGAGATCCAGCATCTCAAAGTACACCCATACGTTGGAAAGAAGGTGCAGATTTAACAAAAAGAGCAAAAACCAAAGCCCCGTTAAAAGGTCGTAAAAGGCCATTAAAACACAGGTCATTTTTTGATTGGTTTACGGATCATGGAGATCCAAGTTCAGATGAAATAGCAGAGTTAATTAAAGATGATATGTGGCCTAATCCATTACAGGTAAAATTATTCATATTATAATTAAAAGAAAAGATCTATTATTATTGAATATTTGGACTTCATCACATAGAAAATTTGGTTTTTGTATACAAAATTATTTGGTTTTAGTATTATTTGGCACCAGATATGGATGTTGAAAATGGCATTGAAGGTGATGGTGAAGATTGCGATACAGAAGAAGAGGAAGAAGAAGAAGATGGTGGTGCGGACGAAGGTGATGAAGCAGGTGAAGGTGAGGAAGGAGATGATAGCATAGTTGTTGTCGAAGATGATGTAGATGAAGATGACGAGGAAGAAGAGGCTGTGAATGATGAAGATGATGGAGTAAACGAAGAGGATGATTTATTGGTAGATGATGAAGTGGATCGTGAAGGTATAGACGATATTTTTCTTCTTTAATATTTCTGTTACATTTATAATGTAATAGAAATAGTAGATTTATTATACGTAAGTTTCTAATGTATCTAATGTATCTAATACATTTATAATTACTGTTTATGTTACAGATGGCGAGGGAGAGGAACCAGAATAGAATATAAAGTTGGTTTTCCACAATATTGGTTACAGTCATAGACACTAAAAAAAGGATCGCTGAAAATACACATCAGGTTGATTGAAAATAAATAAAGTTTGTAGAACTGAAAATATTGAGCCATATGAATAAACCTTGGGACAATTTTGGGAAAATAAAGTAGAAAACAGAATTCAGTAGACCTAATCTTTATCGGCGTGAAGGAAATTGTACGTACAAAAGTACAATATTTGTTTGATTGTGCCGAAACAAAGAAAAAATGGTCTGAGATAAATTAGATAGGTTTCACACTGCACTTTGTTCTAAAACTATACCGCAATACAGAACGAATTCCTTAGTTATATTCATATGGCCTAGTCATTCTCTATAGAGTAGGTGTACGATGAAGAACACCTGCTCATCTTCATCGTGATACAATTACATTAAGGAAAGAATAAATTATAAGATATAAACGAGACAGTGGACAGGTGTTCTTTTCGTCTTGTTTTGTCACAAAAATCTACTTCATCGCACTACTTCCGGAACGAGGTGTTTTAAATATTTTTGAGAGTGACAGTATAATAGATATATGTTCAAATATACAGTATTTGATTTTTATCGTGGAGAGATTTAATTTTTTAAAATAGTAAAATGTGTGTGATACATTTATTAAGATTTGTAATTTATTATTAGAATACGTTTATGAATTATAATCGTAATTTACAGTTACAGTTCGTTTATTAATTTAGAAGTGTAAAGAAAGTGAAGGTAAATTTAATATATTCTCAGTAATTGAATTTATTTTGAATGTCAATTGGAAACATATCGCAAAACATAGTAATGTGTATAAAGATGTATAGAATGTAAAGAATTCATGCTTTTTTACAACTTTATTATAATTCTATCATATCCGCGGTGTAACATTACAAATTTATACTATTTGAGAGTGTCGAACGTTTTTATACAGTTATTTTTCATTATGTAACATTTTGTGACTTTCTTATTGATGATAATACACTAATGTTTTATACACACACACACGCGCGCGCGCACGCACGCACGCACATACACACACACATTCATATATGTACGTATATGTATTAAGTTTACTATCGATGAAATTGGTTTATTATTTCAAACTCAATTAAATCTCTATTCATTTTGAATGCAAATAAAATGTAACTATTACATTGTTTTAGCATATTCTTTTGTCACTTTTTGAAAATGTATCATACTACAATTTAGTGATGTTGAATGATATAATAAAATCAATTCTATTATGTTAAGTATATAAATCTGTTGAAATACGATTTAAATAAATCCAATGTAATACAACCGATTGGTAGATATAGTAAAACTATATCTACCAAACTACTATATCTACCGATTGGTAGATATAGTAAAACTCATTATTTTAGTGGATATTTATTACTGTTCTATTTATTCAAATGTACAAATATACAAATATTTGTATTATAATTTGTCAAATGTTCCACTTGATCAAGAATTGATACTTGTCACACTCAAAATGAAAATCAATTCACGAAGGTCACCTCGTTCTTCTTCCAGATTTTACATTATAAATTTTCCACTTTTGCGAAGAGAAAATATATCGCAAGCGTTTTTCATGCGTAATTTTGACACGTACTTTTAATTCTAACGGCACCTTTATACATTATTGTTACGCGCCAAAGGTGAAGTTAGAATGAGGAGTAATCATAACTCTGTTATATCTCCCGCGATGTGCCAACCAAGAACACATTGCGATCGATTTTAGATTTCGGTGCAAATAAGGGTTCTATTGAAAGGTTTGATTAAGCGTTTCCTTTGGAGTCTAGGAAAAATCAAATAATTACATCGCCCGAAATAGTTAACATGCAGTTACATCTGATTTAATTACTTAAAGTTATCCAAGAAACACGTTTTAGGATAAAATCTGTTTATTAGCTCTTGGATAAAACAGTTTCGAATTAAGGAAAATCTTTCGATTAACATGAAATTATTATAGTATTGAAAATCTCTTAGAGTAAGATTCCTATTTTTCTACCAAATATTTAAAGGTTAGCAAAGTAAGCAATTATTTGATTCCTCCTAGAAAACGATAAGGTACGCTTGTCTACGACATATTCTGTCATAATTATCAGCCAATGTCCTGAAGTGAAATATTCAATGTTAATGAAAATGCGCGTTAACGTGACGTATTAGACCTGCGTAGAGATTTGGCATATGGCCGCACAAAGGGCACCTATGTCCGAGATAAGTGAGTCAGAATCAGACGGACGTACAACAACTGGGTGTAAGAATTTTTTGAATCAATCGACGTACTCGTGTCACGCAATCATACAGTAAATGAACGAAATAAAGTTGTCAGTTTGAGATAGGAATGAGTTTTTTATATTTGGAACTACTTAGAAATACGCAAATGTAAGACGTTTTAATACGAAAAATGATTCAACATTTTATCCCAAATTTTTACTTTTACAACATTATCCGAGCAAAACACGTTCAATATTGTTATATCAATTTTCAAGTACCGTCTTTGCACGATTTATTTTTCTGCTTATTTTTCTTTGTATGAATTTTCGTTTCTTTAAAGAAACTATTTTCTAGAAATATTATTCTTATTTTAAATGATCATCCCTGATTTTCTTCCTTTCTAAGGATATAAAACGAAGCTTATGAAATTTTGTCAAAATTTATATAATTATTTAAAGCAAAAAATGTTGTAACAGCTTACGTTTCATGCTTACCTCTGTTTTACCTCACTCTTGTAAAAACTTGCAAAGAAATTGATATGACAAAGGAATAAGATGGAAAAGATATAAATATAATAGGTAATAGATACATTTAAATATATACATTACATTTAAATATATACTATTCTGTATGAATTTTATAAGAGGTAAAAAATTCATTGAGAAAATGCTTTAATCGTTATAGAATTTTGTTGACATAAAGGGAATCAGGGATGTGATACTAAACGACGATTATCCGAACTAATTTCGGAAATTAATTATCCTTGATAATTAATGTCTTAAATACTCAGTATAAAGCAGTGAACAAAGTGTTTTTTAAAACACGGTACTTTTAAAAAGTAGGCAATTTCCAAGCTAAAAATTATCCGTTTTGTAGCGTTTCAATATAAATATTACTTATAGTTTTACATACGTAACAATTATTTTATACAGTAAAATAAAGAGACTCAGTCAATGAATGCATTTTTATTAGATGGGTATTTGCATACAAATAACAAGTATTTATCACAAAAAATAAATCTGTTGTAGCGAGTAAAACAAAAGTACTGTTTCTTTTCTTTTTTCTTCTGTTTGGAAAATTTGGTGTATTTATTAATTTTATACCTATTCTTATTAATTCCAATTCTACGTTGATATTTAAATTTTAATAACACTTCCGTTAGAAAATGGTCAATTTTCTATTATAATAATACCTTTTTCCTTCCGCACATATTCATTCTCGTTCTTGTTATATTTTTTCGAGGACAACTGACAAAGAAAATGTCAACTTCGTACCATCTATAGAAAATATTACGTATTTACAAAAATTCAGTATAAAAAGGCGGTTTTTATAATTCAAGTCCTGTTTAAATGCTATACATACACATAATGGGTACTGTAGAGTTATCGTATTTTGATAATTCAATTTCTTGTTTGGATAATCGACGTTTCTTTCATCGCCTGAAAATGTCCTAATTTCCAATAAAGTTTACCATTATTTAGGTAAACTAGAATAAACCATTTTTCTAAATTAATAATTTATTATTGTACGTCTATAAGAGTTTGAAAAATAATTTGTAAAAATGACATGTATTTTCTATAAGGGCAGCAAGTTTCATCTTATTTTTTTGTCTATTACATTGTAAAAAAATAATATTTGCGGAAATTACTTTAAGTTATAATTTATTACGATATTAAACCTTATCATAATTTTTGTCATATTTTGCTTTGTATACTATTCCACATATTGACCTTTCTGTCTCTATATATATGTATGAAGCAGCATTTTACTTTTTGAATTATCAATTTAAAATAAGATGTAAAATGATAATTAAATTTGTCGTTATTTTTACGAATTCAATAATCAAATAATTATAATTATTTGTTTCAAGTTTCAGATGATTGAAACTCATGTATCGGAATTTTGAACTAATATTTTAAAATAATAATCATATAGTTTTAATTGAAGTAGAATTGTGCATATTGTTATATTATTATAATATTATTATATAATTATATTATTTTGATTAAAAATACGCAATGACGAGTATTGGTTTTGAGGAAACGTATGTAACTAAAGGCAAGTCATTTCTAAATAGTATATTTTCACTTTTCAAAATTACCAGTGATCACATTTTCCGGAAAAATATCGTCATTGTAAAGAATACACAAAATCGGGTATACGAAAAATCAAAGATTAATCAAATATTACTATACTAAAAAATATTATTATATGGAATGAGAAAAAATGTTGTTTACTAATGACCGAAAGAAATTCTTTACCTTCCTCATATTATATCATCGTTATGCGTTGTTTATTTCAACTTCTCTTGATTCCCTTTCAAGGTATATGTATACTATATATATACATATATAAGTAGATTATCCAGATGGTGCCATTGAAAAGGATGTAAAAAAGGCACTTCAGGTTCGACGACGATGCGTAAGTATGCAGACGACGGATATAGATGGCGAAATATTTGATTTTTTTACAACACAAGACAGTGTAATCTGGGTATTAGACTGTTAGACGATTGCTATGGAGTTGCGCGTGTCATGGTCATCGCAACCTCGCTAGCTTGATGACTGTTCTCGGCCTACTGACTGTTACTCTTGCTCCTGTTGCACGTTTTTACTTCCGTCTGTTACCGAGATTAACCGACATTCGTATACAGAAAAATGCAATAATCTCTTTTTTTTATTGTCTTTCTCTTTTTTTATGTAATTATTTTACGTTGCATCAACCACAAAGTTGGATTATGCTTTTGTCATTGTTATTATTTATATTACTGTATTGTTATATACTTATCATGTTTTTATTATTTACGTTTGCTCTATGAGAAAATGAATTTTCCGTGTATTTTTATTTTCTGATCTCTTTATATATGAATTAATGGGAAAATTAGTTCCAATAAAACATATTCTTACAATAATAGTTTCCTTCAATACATATAATACGTATTTGAAAATTTAATTACATAAATGTAATAGAGTAAATTTAGAAAACTTTTACGTGTACACTGCGCGTGTTGCATTCTATATTTAACTTATATTTAATCGTCACGAATAGTTTCCTTCTACTTTTACCCAATATATTTAAGTTCATTGAAAGTTATGCGATGATATAATGTTAACGCGCCACACAACGCGTCACATATATGAATTGACTTGAATTCGAATGCTTAGCAGGCATCCGAACAGTAAAATATATAAGCAACAGAGTTTTTATAACTATATATTGT